ACAGAGTAGCCCATAGAAATTGCTGGACCCCACAAGCACCTTAGGTTTTATAATTGATACAGAAATATGACATATCCGTCCGGGCTGAAAAAACAAACCTGACATAAAAATAAAAACTGCATATTTGCGTTCTGGTCACCAACAATACAAGACACTCCTCTCAATATTAGCTTTGTACATGGTGGTCCCTACTGACCACTGTTTAATTTCTGACACCTTGACCTACATTTTTTAGACCCTTAACATATGGCCCCTAATGCCACTGGGCACCGTGTAATTCATGGACTGGAGTCTTGGAGTGGAGTTATGGAGTGGAGTTTGGAGTCAATTTTTGGAGTCTTAGATTTTTTTTTAAACATAATTATGCAGAATTTTTTTTCAGAAATGGCATTTGTATGATTGTCTTCAATATTCTAAAATAATTTATTGGCAAGATAAACCTCTAATTTAAGTGCATATAGGCAACACCCATCAGCCACGCAATTCTAAATTTATAGGACCCGACACAGTGCTGTGATTTTTCTTATCTCTCTTTGATTTTGACATCGGTTTGAATAAGTTATTACTTATTAACATTATTGTTTTTTCAGCAGTGTGTTTCGGCGGTTTTATATGTATTGTATATGTATATATGTATGTATTGGTGTATTAAAAATCTAAATTACGGCCCCGCCTTTATCAGGGATCCTGCCATAATTTCCATTGTGATAAAATAGCATGAGAGACACTTTATGAATTTGATACTGCCACTGTATGTCCCACAAACTCAGTTTTATCAGAATCTGTCAAGAGTTAATTATACAAGAGCCGGCAGTGCATTGCGATTACAACAGAACCATTTAATCACCTTGAGCGCCGAGTCATCATATAAAGTACTAACATTTTTTTTAGGGAAACTGAAAATGAATAGAGGATTAGCCAGTGTTTTCCTCCAAAGAGTAACGTACATGTATTATAGCAGTCCCGTTATTTAGGTATTTGATAGTTTGTTTTCGGTGAACAGTTCAATGACTTTTATCATTGAGGAAAAGCACAGAACTATTCCAAGGTAGCAGATGTTTAAAAATATTCTTTATATCATAATTTATCAACAAGATGTGTTTGTGAAACACTGATGCTCCTGTATGGCAGCTTATGGCGAGGGTTGAAATTTGTCAAATGGTCTAGGTCAATGTATTTTTAAGTGGGTCAAACGTTAAGGTCAATGTCAAAAGGTCAAATATTGTCATACCCAATAGAAGTCTTGTCATAAGGAATATACCTGAAAAGCATGAAAGCATTAGTACTAACATTTCAGACGTTATGGTCAAGATATTTTGAAAAATTGGTCAAATTCTAAGGTCAAATGTAAAAATATTTTATACCTAATGAAAGATCTTGTTACAATGGATGCACATGTCAAGTATGAAAGCCCTAGCATCAACTAATAAAAAAATACTGGCTATGGTTAAAGTTTAGAAATTATTGGTAAAAGTGGGGCAAACCCTAAGTTCAAGGTCAAGAGGTCAAATTTAGTGATCCCAGAAGAGAAGTTTTGTCACAAGAAATACACACATATGAAATATGAAAGCCATAGCCCTACCCACTCAAAAGCTTTGGATGGGATTAAATTTTGTGCTGATAAACAGACTAACAGACATATAGACAGACAAGGCAAAATCTAAATACCCTCTTCGAATCTTCTATTGCGAGGGCATGAAAAGAAAAGGTACAGAGGGATAAGACGATAAATTAAAAAATGTAATAAGTATTATTTCATTTATTCCTATTATATCTAAAGCGGATGGTAAAGTTAAATGATACGAAATACGTAAACAAATTATTTTAACAAAAAATGAATATGCTAAATATCAAAAACTTATTCCTCGTGGTTCAAATATCACCATATATGAAAGTAAGAATTTATTAAAAATTCTATCAAAGGTTATGTCATGAGGTAATCTGTGTGTTTTTGATTGTCTTGACTACTTATTAATATGTCTATTCATCCCACAGTTCAAGATAAGGTGTTATCTATGGACAAACAGAAAACGGACGTGTGTTCCATTAATGTTTATGCTTTAGGTAAAACTAGTTTCTTCTGAACTCTATTTCTATTAACAAACGCAATTTTGCTTGACTCCAAAAATTGACTCCAAACTCCACTCCATAACTCCACTCCAAGACTCCAGTCCATGAATTACACGGTGCCATGCCACTGCAGGACTCTGTGACTGTGCCGTCTAAGCTTTTGTCAACAGTCACTTGAAATCTGCTGACACGGTACTTCTCATCCTTCCAGTCTAATCTTTAAATATTTACACTGTGATTTTCATTGCTTGCCGCAAAACCAGTTTATTTTTTAAATCTTGTTTTTGTGGATGAAAAGGGAGAAAATGTGAAGTATGAGAAATTGGTGCTGATAAGATTTTTGTAGCCCTTGGTCAGGTAGTTGAGAGAGGTAGGATTAATGTTTATGGCCTGTCGCACCATTGCAGCTAAACTCTTATAGTACCTGCAAAAACCTGTGATCAAATCCTCAGTGTACAAATGAACCCTAAAAGAAATTAAAATGGACGGAAATTGATATTTTAAATGGGACATCATAAAAGCCAGGCTGTGTTGTGAGGTATGCCATTCATAAGCCGGGGCGGCTAAGGCATTCCTCCCCACACAGACTGCATTCCCTTCATTCATAACCCTCGGCTCTGTTGATATGGAGAAGAATTTTTGTCCTTCTCTCTCCCTCATAAAAAAACTTGGCCATATCCAGGTACGGTATATCACAAATTTTAAACAAAAAGAAAAAAACATTTGAAGACCACACAAAATTCTGCACAAACTGCATATTTTACCTGTAAAGAAGATGCATGTACAAATTACAAATGCAAAGGAATTATAAACGAGTCAGATTTAGCAAAACAAGTTTCCAATTACAAATCTTAAGATGCAAGGACATTCAATTTTTTTTCTTTTTATAAAAGAAATGTAAAGATCATTCTGTGGACAACAGATTATTAAAAACAGATTTAAGACTATGCAAGATTTTATTACAAAGGTAACACCATATCAAAACTCGACAATTCAAAGTCTTTGTTGCTGAAAAATCCAATGGCAATTTCACTTCCTTTCAGATTCTTTTTACAGGAAATGGTGTAAGTTGCCACCAGGAAGATAGATACACAATATTGTGAATTTAGACGATCAGAATAAAGCATGCATGTCCAGGTGTCATACAGGGAGCATCATCTGCCATACATGCTTTTGTCTCCAGTCTCCTGTTTATTCTGTAATATCGATTGCATTATTCACCCTAATAAACACAGCACCTTTTTTGAAACTGCCTCAGTATTCTTTAAATCAATAGTTCTCACATGAAGTTTAAGGTGCTTTAGCTAACAAAAAATAATTCTCTCAGATTATTTTTTTTATATGTCTAAATAAAAACAATTAACAATAATAAATTTCTTTATTTGTAGACTCAAAGTGTTCAAGAGTGATGTGTTTCTTGGTTGACAAGCATTTTTTTCAAAGCATGAGATGATCTGTTAAAAATCAAATCTTCATATCATGGAAAATATAGGACCCCCCCCCCCCCCCCAATTTTTAATATAGGGTGCTTATTAGGGCCAATATGGTATTTCCTACTCGATAACATGCATTTTTTATGAAATGACAACCATTTGAAGCATCTGCAACTTATACAAGCAGCAGGTTCATGGTTTGACAATTCCAACTACCCAGGACCAAATAGTGAAAGTGGATAATTAAAAGAAATATGACAGCAGCATGGTCCCCCTATACCTATGACATATTACATCTGCTGTGAAGCAGATATATAACAGGATTTCCTTTGAAGTGTGGTGATCTTTATTTTCCTTTTACAATTGAGTCCACTCAGCATGATTTCAGCTTATGATAATCATCTCTTAACAGCTCCCCCCATTCACATTTCATAACAAATGCCCAACCTTCGTCACATGACACAGTCACTGAACAAAAAGGAAACAGAATGCTTAATTTCACTTTCATCTCTGTCTAAATGATGCTTTTACTGCATACATTACTCAATTGTGAGAGATATGAATTATACCGTCATCTATGTATGCACTAAGAGCATAAATTAGCATTCATTAAAGAAAGGCATCACTTTAAGGGTGGCAGTAAGTAACTCTGGGGAAAGAAAGACAACTCAGATAACCATCATGCCAGACTGGCAGTGAAGGACTGCTAGAGCACACCTAGGCCCTCAGAAGCTGTGAGGTAACTAAGAGCAAAATCCTGCATTCCACATATTTCCCGGCACTTAATTCAATTCTGGAATAAACTTTTTTTAAAAAGCAAATGATACTTGTAAACTTTTTAAAAATCAAAATTTTACATATTTTTGCTTATTAATTTGCACAACAGGATTTATTTCTAGTAAAATTTCCATCTGACTGGATATATACTTCAAAAGACTAAAAAAGCAAAGATTTTTGGATCAAAAGAGAAATAAAGATCTAAATGTGGGAATCCAAATGATGTTTCTGAAATTTGTTAAAACACTCCCAATTTAAAAAAAAGAAAAAAGGACTTAAATTTGCAAGTGATTTTTTCAGAACTTAATTATGCTTAATGTCTAATTAATTCACAATCAGGTTTATTTCATTGTTTATGACAGTGACATTCCAGATTTCATTGACTTTGATTTTTTTTTTTTTTTACATGATGCACTTATATTGCTCCTTCATATAGGATTGTACTGTTATTTATTAAATTTTTAAAACCACCTGAATTCATTTCAAAAAAAAAAAGTCTAGAGAAAATGGCTGTGATTGACAAGAAATGTCATGTATGAGACAATTATGCTTTATTTTTTTTCCACATTTATTGCTACACCTGTTGCTCTTTTAGAATGTATTGGGTTTGACCAGCGTACACAATAATGATATACATAATTTGTCTCACTGGTCAAAGGGAGGCAACTCTATTTCATTTTTGACCTGTTGGTCAGTGATGGATGTTAGATGACCACTAACCTCCCAACGTGACCTGTTCTACTGTTATGTTGACTGGCCCCGAGTTTCCCGGTTTAGAGATGAACTCGTTATCCGCTGAGATTGAGTTGGATGGAATCTGAATGGTGGCTTGGCTTGTCCCCCCTGTTGACGTGGCGATAGCTAAAGCCTGCTCTATCATGAACATCTCACACCCATTCTTTAAGTGTTCCTGAAAAAAATCATAAAAACTGACATAAATAAAATATATTAAATAAAAAAAAACAACAACAACAAAAACCAAACTTGCAAAGCTCACAATCCATCAATAAGATCTTCACTATAAGGAAGCAAAATATATAAAGACTTAATTCCACAATTTAAAATTATAATTATCCAAAATAAAAACTTTTCTTACTCGGCAGGTTTGCATGCTACATGTAATTCAACACTCCAGGGTGTACTGCTGTTGGCTTGTTGATGAAATACTGAGATGATTATTCAAGTTCTGAGTATAAGTAACTTTAAGTTATTCTTACCTTGAGAAGAGAATCCGTTTTGAAGATGGATCCACACTTCTCACAGACATGAGATTTGACGTCGGAATGTTTCCTCTCTATATGTTTCCTGATGTCCGTGAAGGTGTAGCCATAGAATTCACACACACCACACTTATAGTCCTTCTGTCCATTATGTCTGTAATAGCAAGGGAGGTTCTCTCAATTACAAAAGATATTCCATCAATAACAAGGGGAATTTATAAATATCAAGAAAATTCTGTTCTCTTAATAATAACAAGGGAAATTCCCTTCAATAACAATGGGGAAATCTCTCAATAACAAAAAGAATTCCTCAACAAGGGAATCCCCTTGATAACAAAGAGAAATCCTCAATAACAAGGATGAGTTCCCTCAATAATGAGGAGTTTCCTCAATAATGAGGAGTTTCCTCAATAACAAGGGGAATTCCTTCAATTACAAGGGGAATTCCCTCAATAACAAGGATGAGTTCCCTCAATAATGAGGAGTTCCCTCAATAACAAGGGGAATTCCCTCAATAACAAGAAGAAGTTCCCTCAATAATGAGGAGTTCCCTCAATAACAAGGGGAATTCCTTCAATAACAAAGAGGAATTTCCTAAATAACAAGGGGAATTCTCTTAATAACAAGGTTAATTCTATTAATATCAAAAGGAGAGAGTACCTGTTGATGGTACACAGTAGGGAGAATACGGTACAATTTCCTCTGAGGATGTCCTACCTTTTGAGATGGAGTTCTTTGTTTTTGATGTGTCGGAAGGCCTTACCACATACATCACACACATGTTTGGGTTCCTCATGGATTAAGATGTGCTTTGATATATCTGATTTTTCACAACCCCTGTAATTTGAACAAAAAATAAAAAAATAGAAAACGGACCAAGTTATTTTTACATATGTAATAACTGTCATACACAATATCATAAAAGTAAAGGCTTAGATAATACGAAGATCATTTTTGTGAAGACAAGTTTAGAAACATGTAGCATGTCACAAAAAGTGACAGTTGAAACAAAATTTACATTATCAGCACAATTCCAGATATATACTGTGCCTTTCACCTACTAGTCTTTCTACCATCATCAAAGTCCTCAGACATCTGTTCTATGTCAGAGGAAACAAACTAAAGCCAAACGTAACTGTGGGTTGACCTGAACACCGAGATAGGTGATGTACTCTAGTTTTTGTCTGCGGTTTAAGACAATTCACCTGGTTGTACATGACAAATCTTACAGCATAGGCAGAATTTTTGTTCTTTGTGCACCGATTAAACAGGTCAGCTGTCTGTGGAATTCAGGTCATTGAAACAAAACAGAAATAATCAGCAAAAACCGAGTGAAAGGTCAGGCTATGTACTACATTCTGCAGTGGCTATAACGTCTTCGAGTTTATAATTAATGTACTGCCTACCTGTCCTCAAATGACCATCTCAAGGCAATCCAAATCTAACACAGGATAGTTTTGTTGAATGAACTCATCAGAAAGAGAAATTTATTTTACAGGGTTCTCATTACGTACTCAAATGTAAGAGTTTTAAAAAAAATTAAACCATAGGTACCCCCCCCCCCCCCCTCTAAAAAATCAAAATTCTGACAAAACCATTTTAAAAGTTATATTCTGGTTATTAAAGTGAAAATAAAAAATTTCACCTGATCAAAAAATAAAGTATAATTAATTTCTATCATGTTGCACTGGTGCTTACATAAGAACCAAAATCCAAGGACGCAAGATAGATACACATGTATATGTAGCATTTCTGGAATCTTTCTTGTGTAATAGATATGTGGCATATACAGCATTTTAAAACATAATTTGACAATCAGAACAAGGCTAAGGAATTAGCCAGGATCAGCAGACAACTGATCTTTAAGCCTGTGTCTCACTCACAAAATCCAGTAATTGGCCATAAATCAGTTTCCCCTTTACACAGGTAGATCCCAGACATTGGGGTCATCTCAGTTTAGGAGGAAAGTTTTCACTTTGTCTGTGACCAGATTCACTTTTTATCTACCCCCTATCATTATGTTGTTAGGGGGTGGGTAAGCTGTTATATACCTGTCCTACCCTATTCTATCTACTGGTATACAGGGATTAGGTTACAGGTAAGACTGACTGGTCCCTGTGATCTACCTAGCTAGGTATGTTTAGTTCAATACAGCAGAGAGAAGCGTCTCAAAACAGAATGTCAGTGGTCAAACAGCCTTGTTCACAGGGGCTGGTTGGTAATGAAAGAGATACACTGTTTTGGTGGGTTTCAGTTTCATAATGTACGGGTCCCTTGGTACATGTCAAACACAGAGAGAACACATATTTATCATGTAGGCTATGCTAAATAATTGTCTTCAAAAAGCTGATGGTGCTTTATGACTTGCTTTAAGAAGGATCTGAAATGCCTTATAAACTATTTCAATTTTCCTTGCTGTGCATTGAAGGCCTACTTAACGAGGATGTTTATGTGGGGGTGGGGCGGGGGGTGGGGTGGATGGGGGGAGGAAGGTCTTTTGATGGTCTTCAAAAAGTCAGTGAAGCAATATCCAAATTAAAAAGATATCTTTACTTTGCAAGACTCAGATGTCCTCCCCTCAAACTTTCCTAAACCATTTGACTGTTGTACCTTGCAATGCTTGCATACATTAATACCAATTAAGATGGATTTTTCTTTATGCTTGTATCATAAATACTAGAAAATCAAACTCATAACATAAAAATGTGCTATGGAAAGTCCTGTCATATGTATAGGAAGGAAACGTTCTGCCTACAGCAAAGGATGTAGACACTCTTACAAGTCAACCATCTGCTTCATGTATACCAATACTTCTATCTAGGGGCAACAATACACCAGTACAGAAAGGCCACTTAACAATTACCTAATTAATAAACAGAGAAAGTTCTGTTCCTTATAGTTCCTCTTTTTTTTCTTAGAATGCACTCCTGAAAAATAGCCCATCTAAAAAGGACCAATGAATATTAATATTATGAATAATGATATCAAGTACAGTAAAACTTGTTTAATCTGAACACTGCTTATGCCAGGGACATTGGTTGGATTAGACATCACTCTGTGTTAAACATTTTATAGGTAGGGAGTTCAAGTTAACATTGTATTATAGGCATGACTTGAGAATAAACAAAATCTGTATCAGACTACTTTTATTGCATTCATCAAAGTTTAATTCTAATAGCTAGAGAATTCAAGCTTCTGTTAAAGAAAGCATTAAAAATACTTTCTTGATACTCATTTTCAAAGATTCATAATAAAATTCAAATACTGCACAAATACAGTTCAACTTCGGTACCTCAAAAACAGAAATCTGGAATACCATGGATATATTACAGTAATTTTAAAGTCAAAATTAAACCCTTTATTCTTTGGTATTTTATCCTTGATATCTGGACTCCTCAGATATCTTGACGTTCTATCATTACTCAATGAGTTTGAGATAACAAGGTTTGACTGTGTGTTCATCTTTGAGAAAACAATTGATCTTCATTGGATGTTTGTGCTTCTAACAAACTGCCCTTGTATTTATGAAGTGTCTCTCTAACTAAGACATTCTCTTAATAATTAAGTTTTATTCGTATTCAAGCCTCCTCTGAATGGTTAATATCCAAAAAGGAACACAAATTATTTCTCTATAACCTGGTTTGGTATGGAGACACATCCCCATGACAACCAGCTGAATCATCTGTATCCATGCAATCCTCTCATTTCCAGTCCATGGGATTACATGGAAAATTCCAGATTTGATAAATGTACCTTTCATTTAAAACAGTAACTCGATCTTACACACATGTAAACAAACAATATGGCTGCTAGGCCTACGTATCGGTTTTTACCTCCCCTTGCTTTCCATCACTTCTGTTACTACGGTTGTATTATTGAGTGGCAAATTTGAACTTATAAAAAGCAACAAAATTTTACACCCACAGTTGTTTAATGATGTATAAATTAAATTATAAGGAATGACTAATTCGTGGCATAATTATTCGAGTATAACCTGTTTTTGGTCAGTTTACAATGATTTATAATCTGCATAAACTGACCCAAACCAGGTTATACTGGTAAAATTTGGCCAAGAATTTGAGTCATTCCTAAAATAATTAGTTAGAATCAAGTGTAAATTACTCCCCCCTCCTCTCAAATTTCTTTTATGAATGTGAAGGGTACAGATTACTAGGGCTTCATATCATATAATTTCAGGCTATTTTCTGTTGTCTCTATTGAGTAAACTAATTAAATGAAAACATTTGCACTCTAATTTTAACTAGCAAGGAGAAATTACAATGAAAAAAGCAGCATTCAAACCATTTATCTTACAACAGAGGGCATGTAGATTTTTGTTTATAAACCTTGTCACAAGATGGAAATTTGATATGTACAGTTATCCATACCTATGGTCACATGCATTTTGTCTACCTATATATAACGGTATGGTATACAGAATACCTATTCTCAAGTCCCTCTAGATACCTATTTTTAGAATGAGGGCATTTAACAAGTTTTCATTTTATACTTTTGATAACCGGTATGTACCTGTAGTCACAGTGAGGACATTTATATGGTTTTTCTGGCTCGTGGATACGTAGATGACGTTTCAGATGGGCTTTGCGAGTAAACTTCTTCGAACACACTGTACACTCAAACAGCACCTCAGCTGGCATGTGAACCATTTTTACATGCATCTTCAAGATGTACTGGTCCTGTGAAAAGTCAAATTAATTTTTACATATTTTCATAATTAACCAAAATGTAAAATACATTATCTAGCTCTGTATCAATTCATTAAATACTAAACTTATATTCACCATAAAACATGATAAACATTCAAAAATTTAGGTATGCACTTGCAGTATTGCTGTAAAAAAATAAGTCATAGCTTTCATCCCTTTCTCTCTCTCTCTTTTTTAATTTTGGTAAGAAGGGGGGGGTCCAAGGATAATGAATTGACACTTTACATGTAAGTTTGACTGAGTGACAGCTTCTCATGAACATTTAAAAAAAGTGAGTCAGATGGTGTACATGTTATTATATAGTGACTCAGGCTGGCAGATGGTTAAAGGACACACATATTACAAAATCTACTGTCTGATTATCTTCACAGATTACAGGCTTGATGGCTGCAGTCATTTGCTGACTCAGCACTAAATTAGGCATCCTTGCAGCATTTACAAATCTACACACTGCTCTGAGTATGCATAAAACAAAAAAAAAAAGTAATTATTTGAAGTATTTACTACTGAAAATAATTAACCAAGGGCACTGTGATTGTTAAATTTAAATTTGTTTATCTTAAAATAATATCATAAAATTGTATTTGGAATGATTTATTATATCTTTTGATATTAATTAAAACTAATGTTTTGTCAGCATTTTCCAGCAAACTGGATATTTTTAAAAGTATGCACAAATGCATCAATTAATTTATAGCATTATCCCTAATTAACAATTTGCGCATTGTTAAAATTAGAAGAAAGCTGTGCTGCACCAATCCCAACTCATTTCCATAAATAAAATTAACATTAATTAATTGCTCCTTCAATTCCACTTTCAGTAAATGAAAAAAAATAAATAAACATAACGGAAAATGAGCAGAGCACTACATGCATGGATCATCTATTTTTGGATTTTGCTGAATGAAAGTTTTGCTGCGTTCCCACACGATGTGAGGTTCACTCACCCTGCTGTACCGTATCAGACAGAATGGTAATCTAAATATATGGTTAGGAGCCACAGCAAAACAATAGCACTTGACACATTTATTCTAACAACTAGGTCACAATTTTTAACATGCTTATATGTATAATCCAGGATCCAGAAAAACTTAATATTTTACTTTCCCCTTTAAGGGAGGACAACACTTGCTTTTGGACTCTGAACTTTTCCCCCTTTTTATTTAATTTTTCCTTTCATTATTAACAATGTTGTATATTACAGCACATTTCTTTAATCTCATAAACCACCAGATATATATTTATAATGTTGGATTATTTTGTATTGACTGTTTTATGAAGCAAAAAAGTTGCTCTGATGGAGGGAGTGAATTGGATCAGCACTTTCTTTGGAGCACTCAGCTGCCCTCTACACAGGAAGTCATCAGTGTGCTGGGATTCGAGGGAGATGACCTGTGTCCATTTCAGGTCGCGACCCTGTTCCTATCACAATGTTTTTACAAACTTCAATGCATACTTCCTGTTATTAAAAATAAAGCTATTAACATATTATATGGTTTGGAGTTTTCCCTATACTTGATAGCTTTGAACTTCACAGGGCTTCGCCTGCTCTACTGCTATTCTGTTAACACATTGGTGGCAACAGTGAAAATATCTTTTCCCCCATCTCACCGTTAATGATCAAATCATAAACCTCCAAAGCAGTTTTTTGTGTGTGAGTCGGTTGGATATCTACAGCCTGATTCAAAAGTCAATTATTTTTGCATTCTAAAATACATATTTCCTTCAAGTTAAATAAACTTATCAGATTTCTTTTTCCAGCTTAGTTTTTACAGGTTGGATTACTTTAAGATATATTTATACCTACACCTGTCATTTATAATCCATTTTCTCACATTTTCTAATGAAAGGTCAATAATTTTTTTTTGTTTCAGATTTGAAGAAAATCTCATTCAGAACATGTTTTGGTATTTCATGTCTACAATATATATTTTTTCACTTTGCCAATCTAGTCTCAAGGAGCTTGGCTTATGAACTTCACATGGTCATCTTAGTCCATCAGGATCCAGATCCCCCATCCTGTAAACCCTATAGCTACCTTGTAAACTTTAGCATAGGTGTAAAAGGCGCAACTCTTCACCATGTCCTTGCTGGCTTGCAAACCTTGCAACAAATGTAAACATTTAAAGGTGCAGACTAGCTTTATGTGCCCCATCTCATAAACTCTTCCTTGTAAACTTTACCTCAGATGTAAAAGGCACAGCTACTTAATTTGTTCCCCATCATGTAAACTTTACCAAGGATGTAAAAGGTGCAGCCCTTTTACTTTATGCATCATCATGTTTATATATAGCCTATTAGCCTTGCATTATAAACTTTACCACAAGATGTAAAAGGTGACACCCTTTATTTTTGTGTCCCATCATGTACTTACCTTGTAAACCTTACCACAGGTGTGACAGGTGCAACCTTCCATATTGTGTCTCATCATGTGACGTTTGATAATGTAAGCATGCTCTGCCATAAAGTTACACACATTACATATACATCTTGGGTGGTTTTCCTGAAATGGTACAAAATCAAATATTGATACCTTTTAATTATTTTTTTTTTTCAAATTGATATAGTGTCATCCTTTAAATGAATTGAAAAATTGAAAAGAAAGAAACAATATTGTAATAGTCCTCTGCATCTTTTTATATTCCCTTAAGAAACTGGGAGTTTTAATAGTTTGCCAGATGGTCAACTAAATGGTATGTATAGGAAAAACAAGTGGGACATTAATGTCATTACTTTTAAACACTCTATACCAAAAGTAATAGGAACATTTCCTACAATATGCTAAGACTTGATACATGACAATTTTCTTTGGGAGAATTGGTGAGGAAATGCCACACAGTTTTAAGTAGCAGCCAGTTATTTCTGGCATCCCCTTCAATGAAGCCACTTTTTCCTCTGATATATGTCATTCTACATTATTTCTCACAGTTGAAAAAAATAGCTAAATCTACAAAAAAGTAGAAAGGTATTGATAAAAAGAGATGCGAACTGACAGGGTTCCAGCCACCGTTTTTGCTATAGGATTGTCTGAGTGACATTCGGCATCTGAAGAATCATGAATGAAAGTCTAGCCATGTCTTATCTGAGTGGGAATAAAACACCTAGGGTGGCCAGGGTCCAGTGATAACAATACCAGATCCCCCACTCGATAACCATCTATGTACCAAATGTCACCATCATTAAAGGATAGTACAATGTCAGCAATTTTCAACAAAATCAGGAGATGCAATGTATACAGCTTTCTCTTTCCTTCAGCTTCCAAAGTAGAATTGATACCTTTGTATCATTTGTTATAAAAGCGAATAATTTTTTTTAAAACCATTTCTGGGTCAAGAAAGTTCGGAAAAATATTTTGACCTTGACATGACCTTAGCAAAAATTCAAGGGCAAAGTCATATATTATTTTACCAAATCTTAAACTCTATGTGTTAAAAGAATTCTAAGAATTTGGAAATCCAAAGTTCATATGAAAATAGGTCCTATTTGTAAGATATATCTAAATCTGATTGAGTAAAAAAAGGACCTCCATCCTTTTCCTCTTTTTCTCTCTATCTTTAATTCCTGCTTAAAACTTGGGACAGGCACTTCCAAGAAAATGCAAGTGCTGAAATATGCATGGAATTTAAAACAATCTTTCATTTCTATGATAAAAAGCCATCTGAAAAAAAATTATTTTCCCTGAAAAATCTGTTCTCTGTCATTACTGTCAGGAAGTGCCACGGTAATGAAGAAAAGTTAAACATTGGCCTATATGTACAGTGTTAATTGTAATTTACATGTTAAAATGTAATTTACCTTGAAATGAGCTAGCAGATTTTCTGGGTCAAACGAGACGAAGTTACAACACTTGCACTTCTGGATTTCCTCGGGGTGGGTTGCAATGTGACTTTGGTACTGCTGGGGGTAATAAGCCTGAAAATCACATTTTGGACACTTCATGTTCTGTAACTCCTGATCATTGAACTTTAACTTTAGACCTACAATCAAAAAAAAAATTGTACTTTATAACATATTACAAATTCAAAAAAATTCTTTAAGATATTGCATGAATATTCAGAGAAAGTGCAATTTTATATTTCTACACCTGAGTATGAGATATTTAAAACTAATAAAGTAATAATTTAAACTGACTAAGGCCATAATGAGGACTGAGAAAATATTCTGAACAAAATGTTGATTCTTGTGACTGCAATTGCTTAGTGACAAATGTTTAACTTTGAAACTAACTTAAAATTAAAATGTAAAAGATATGTGACTTTACCCAACACAAAGAGCTAGTTGCTGGTGTCCTCAGAAATAATTTGTGTATGATGTACATATTCTCAAGAGATAAAGTGCAATATATGTATGACGTAGTTTACGTTTTAACCAAACTGTACTAATTCTTGGACACTTAAAGTAGTGGGCCGTTCAAGTTTCTTTTTACCTTGATTTACATAATTTTTTTATCTTTAAAATAATTTTTTCATCTTTAATTAAACCGTTTTGTAAAGACAAATAGACTTGCATAATCCTATGGTTACAGGAAATCAAATACCGTATAAGTGGAAATTTTAGCGAGACGCAAGTTTAGCGATTTGTCCTTAAATATGGTATTTTATATTTAGGGAGAAGTAATTTTAGCGATTTTAAAATCCTCTCTAATGAAGCTATTACAAATTAAACACAGTTTATTTTTAGCGATATTTAATTTTAGCGATCTCAGAACCCTTGCTAATAATGCCAAAATTAAATCCTCACTAAAAAATTAATTCTGCTTATATGGTATGTCTGCAAATTTTTGTCTAATCTTCTAGATAACACAGACCTACAATATCAGAAATATTTCTTTCTCTTATTATGCAACAAATTCCACAATTCAGATGACCTTTCAGAATTTCTATATAATTCTCATAGTATAGACAAGAAAAGTTGAAGATACAGAACTTCCTTAAAATGTCAAAATTTTCATTACCAAGCAAAATAAAGAAGCCAATGACCCTTTCCAGAATATATAGGTGAATTAAGAGCTGATTTTAGGCATAAATATGTACAAGCCTTATACATCATACATATAGCACTAAAACTTACAAGGAAAAGGCAGTTTGGTCAGTTTACAGTTGCATCGAGATTTGAGAGATATGTTTTAATTTAACTATTCTATGAAGACAAAATTTCTACAGATTAATCTGTCCAAAGTGTGTATGATTATGCTTTTATCACTGAGAAGTGAATCAGAGTTCTATACCCAGTAACATTCACTTTTTAAGCAGCATCTGCAGGAGATTTTTAATAATTTTCATGACACACACACCCTCCTCTATTTAAGCTATGTACAATCATATGTGCTACATGTACATACTAAACCAATGCAATGGAAAATTTGTTGAAATTAGAAGTTTAAAGTCTAAAATATAATTTTATACACATCATTTCATTTTATCTTCTACTGTAGAGTTACATAATTTCAGAGAATTTGTAATTTACTACATAATTCCTTAATGTGTGTTAAATCAATTGTGATTTTAATATTAAAGAACAATATTTAAGCAATAATTGCTATAAAGTTTTTTTTTTAAATAATTTTTTTCCCCACATTTTTGTACTCTATTGTCAAAACAGAACCGAGAAATGGGAGAAATCGGAAGTTTAGAAAACTTTAATGATCCTATTACATATAATTTCGTACTCCCTACTCTCTTTGGCAATTGGTAATCAGAAAAATGAAACCCTGCAGAAATTACACGTACTTATTATGTTTTCAACATGTAATTCTTGTGAATTTTTTTTTTTTATGTCACAGTGAAAAGTGCAAAAAACTTAATCCCCAGACATCAATTTAATCTTCATTTTTTCTGGAGATGCTCAGGGATAAAAAGTTCTCCAAATTATATCATAGCTTCCAGTTTTCAAGTATGTAAGATGCCCACAGATATAGTTTCAAAAGATTGTCACAATTTTTCTTTTTTCCTACAGATTAAGAATAATGTATGGTTTTTATCTGAATGTATTCCAGATTCTGACATCTGATTTAAGTAATGCTGACGTGGGCTTTCATTTCATTGGTTGACATCAAGCTTAAGATTTAGTTATTTGATTATAAAGAACATCGACCACAAGGAACTGAACAAAAAAAGGAAATGTGTGTTCCCTAGTTAGCTTTGGCCTGATTTATACGATCCTGTGTACATGTAGAGCTACACACCATTTTTTTTTTATGCGCCCGAATTTTTTCGGGGCGCATATTGTTTTTGTCCTGTCTGTTTGTCTGTTTATCTGTTTGTCTGTTTGTCTGTTGTCAACTTTAACCTTCGCCAAAACTTTTGAACCGTAAGAGATAGAGACTTCATATTTGGTATGCATACTCCTCTAATAAAGTTCTTTCAAATGACATCAAGGTCAATGACCTTGTGACCTTGACTGTGACCTATATGCTAAAAATAGGTTTTTCAACTGTTTGTCATAACTTTTGAACCATGAGAGATAGAGACTTCATATTTGGTATGCATACTCCTCTAATAAAGTTCTTTCAAAAGGTCAATGACCTTGTGACCTTGACTGTGACCTATATGCTAAAAATAGGTTTTTCAACTGTTTGTCATAACTTTTGAACCATAAGAGATAGAGACTTCATATTTGGTATGCATACACCACTAATAAGGTTCCTTCAAATGACATCAAGGTTAATGACCTTGTGACCTTGACTGTGACCTTTATGCTAAAAATAGCTTTTTCCACTTTTTGCCATAACTTTTGAACCATAGGAGATAGGGACTTCATATTTAGCATGCATACTCCACTAATAAAGTTCTTTCAAACAACACCAAGGTCAATGACCATGTGACCTTGACTGTGACCTTTATGCTAAAAATAGCTTTTTCCACTTTTTGCCATAACTTTTGAACCATAGGAGATAGGGACTTCATATTTAGTATGCATACCCCACTAATTAAGTTCTTACAAACAACACCAAGGTCAATGACCTTGTGACCTTGACTGTGACCTATATACAAAAAATAGCTTTTTAGAACTTTGTTGACGCCGGGCGCATAGTGTTTCACAAACACATCTTGTTCTTTCCTACTCCAAACTCATCAAATGAAGGGCCATACTCAAACAGCTCCGACACACACAAAAATAAATTTCCCATGTACTTGACTTATAATTACATAAAAAAATTAAAACCAGTCTCAATCTGAATGAAAAGTGAAAATTGCCAAAAATTGAAAAAATAAAAAAAATGTTTCCTTGTCTATTTCACTCTTTTTGATATTTCATTACAAATACCGAAACCTTTGATGATGGTAACCGCATGTAATGTAAAAACCACAGAGAACATTTGGGAGGAATTTTTGGACAATTAAGATTAATTCTGATGGGGCCCAATTCTTGCATGTTTCTTCTGACTCTAAAGCCCAAGGTGCTGAGCTACTGCAAAGAGGAATTAAAATAATCCTTTTAGAATAATTCACACATCTTAAAACAAGTGCGCTCTAACAGCAGGACCCTAATTACCAAAACCACATGGCAACTACTGATCTTAAAAAAATATCAATATCTCCCTCCCTCATTTTTTATATAGGCCACATATACAGTACATAATCTGTACACTTTTGCTGACATAGCAGTTCTTTGGAGATTTTACCACAATAACCTTTGAAAGACCCAAATGTCACTGGGTTCAAAATTTTTTTTAATTAAATTAAATATACATGTAAGTATCATACCAGTACTTATATCTTACCTGTATACAGAGAATGGCCAATTATTTAAAATTCAATAACATCACAATTTACATTTAATTACAATTTGACAAAAATAATTATAAATATATATTAATTATTGTTATATGCATTGTAAATAACGGTTTGTCTTTTTGAGACAAAAGTGCTAAGAAAATTTTAGATTTATGAATGAATGCCACTGCCTCCCTTTTTATGCCAAACTGCTGCGATTTCTTTAGAACGGACTATAGCTCTCTATAACCTCCCCCACTTTTCCCAGACTCTGCAGTTGCCTAGATGCTGCTCTAACTATTGTAACCTTGTTTTTTTATGTTGCCAATCCTTTAAGTGCTAGCCTCTATTGTCACCAAATTCATGTGACATGAGTACTGTGTACTGAGAGTGTACTACAGGAAGCACGTCTCGTCAAGGCCAGCGACTAAAAACTGCTCACTTCATTCATAAAAATCTGCTGACTATACATTGGTTACAAACTGGCTGGCAGGTGGCGCTGTTGTAGGAAGTCAGGAGACAATGCTGTGTCATAGAGGGGAACCCTGTGTCAGCAACACCATGGACTCCAAAGTAGTGTACCGACCACAGGAAAATTAAAAATCATTAAAATTAACACAAAACCTACTACAACCAATACAAAAACCTCTCAATACTGTATATTGCCAACAAGGATATGCACTCTCATCCACTTCAAAGGGATATGACTTCACAAGATTCAATGTGAAAAACTAAGTTTAGTTTCAATATAAAAAATTTTAACCCCCCCCCCCATTCCCCCTCCAAAAACAAAATATTATTTCAAGAATAAAAATTCAGGATGTCACTATGGTTTAACTAGGTATAGTTTCAATTTAATATAAATTACCCCCCCCCCCTCTTTCCCACTCCAAAAAAAAAAATTTATTTCAAGAATGAAAATACACAAAGCCTTGGGCAGTTTCTCCAAGGTTGCACAGATTCAGCTACATGCAAGGAAGAAAGTTTTTTGCAGCATCAGCTAGTAGAAATTTCCAGCATCTGATAATATCTCCCATAAAAAATCAACAGAAAAGATTAGTCATCTTCCTGTATTTAAACAGAGTTAATCTAATCACACACAGATTTTCATTTTTCAAATACCACAGGGAACATGGTGGCATACATCAGCTGATTGAAAGAAAACCTGTTATGTAACTAGGTCACTGTGCAAAAAAGTCTCTGGAAGGCTGTAATTCTAGTGTATGAATAACCTAGGAAAAAATTAACACTTAAGGCAGGTC